TGCTGCACTACATCTGTTTGGGGTTCTCTACAAGGGACTTCTTTCTTTCAGTTGATTCTAGTCACAGAATATGAGGAAGGCCTTCCTTTTATAGTACAAGGGTTCCCTCTGTCACCTTTCCTGAGTGACTCACATATCTTACCTGAAGAGGAGAGGGGTTTTCCTGTGTCTAAATATGTCTCCTGATATCAAGACAGCAATGAAATACTTGTGGGAAATAGTGATTTGTCTCATTTTTAAAAATCCCTTCTTTAATATTTGATTCCCTGGGTTGATGTGTGTTTGGAGCATTGTGTGACTTTATCCTGTGGGGTTTTGCTTACTTTGTCACAAGTTGGGTTTGAAACAAATGCCAGACTCAGGTCTAGCTCCTGGGTTTCTCCGAGAGTCATAGAGAAGAGACTGGAGTCAGTGCTAAAGGGTCTTGAAAAGCTAGCCAGAAAGTCTGGAATTTTTCACTGCAGGCCACAGAGAACAAGTAGTTAGTTTTATTTTTCCTTTTTTCAAGATACCTTTTGGTGTTCTGCCTGTGTTTATGACTATGTACCTTCTACATACAGTGTGTACAGAGGCCAGTAGAGGGCATAGGATCCACTGGTACTGGAGTGCGCTACTGTTGTAACTGGGGCTTTAAGCAGTGGAGGGAGAAGCAGTTTGCTCAGATTTTATAAACACTAACCATGTGGATATGTCACTGTAAGATTTTGAAGGATGTATGGGGAATTTATTCTATCTCCATTTATGTCTAATATGTACATATAACCAACTCACTTCCAGTTCCATCGCAAGTATGATAAATTAGTGATTTTAAAAACTGCAATGAAGTGTTTAGAAATCCTTGAAAATGTAAATCAGCCACAATTTCAGATAAAAATTTGTTTCTTGGGTTAGCAAGAACACAGAAATATTTTGTTAGTAAGTTTCTGACTTGCAAAGATGAATTAAGAAAACTGTCTAGAATATTTAGCTGTATATATTCTCTTTCTCTTTGTTCTTAAAAAGTCTTTTCCATTTTTATTTTATGCATAGGGGTGTTTTACCTTCATAAATATCTGTATACCATATTCATGCAGTGTTGTCAGAGGTTAGAAGAGAGCATCAAATCCCCTGGAACTGGATTTACAGATGGTTGTGAGCTATTATGTAGGTGCTGAGAAACAGACCCAGGTCCTCTGGAGGAGTAGTCAGTGCTTTTAACCACTGTGCTATCTCTGCAGCCCCTGTATGTCTTTTCTTAATATAGCTTTTGGTGGCTTACATAGCTATACATTGAACTCAGCAGTTGCTAAATATCCTTTTCAGTACAATGCTGATATGATGAATATTGGCACATATCCATTATGTTGTTACTTAGATTTTGTTTCCAAGAACACGTGATGTGTCATTGGTTTTTATTTGTTTGTTTGTTCTTCTTATTTTGGTTTGTATTGGTAACTGCCCAGTTTGTTTTAAACAGGAAAGGGGTGGGTTGGAGTGGTGTTAGGGAGGTAACTCAGTGCGCGTGAGTACTTGCTGTATAAATGTGAGAACCTGAGTCGATGCCCCAGCTCCCTGGGTGTGGCCGTGCAAGCCTGTAGCCCTAGCACTAGAGTGGGAGTTGGGGGCATTGGGATAGCCTAGCTGCCGAGTGGTGAGCTTCCAGTTCAATGAGGTTCACTGTCTCTGGAGTAAGGTAGAAAGTGAGGAGAGGACACCCAGGTGCAGCCTGCCCCTGCCACATACATAAAGAGCTTCTTTTTGGGGTGTGTGGGGGTGTGTGTGTGAATGTGTATATGTGTGTGTGAGAGTGTGTGTGTGTGTTTGTGTGAGAGAAAGTGTGTATGAGAGTGTGTGTGTATGTGTGTGAGAGAGAGTGTGTGTGTGAGAGAGTATGTGTGTGTGTGTCAGAGAGAGATTGTGTGTATGAGAGAGAGAGAGAAAGAGAGAGAGAAAGAGATCTGTGAGAGAGTGTGTGTGAGAGTGTTGTGGGGGTGTGGGAGTGTTTGCTTGCTTGACACAGGGTTTCTCTTTGTAACCCTGGCTGTCCTGTTACACTCTCTGGTCTGGAACTCAAAGATTTGCCGCCTTTGCTTCTGCCCCTCAGGTGCTGGGATCAAAGGCATGTGCCACAATACCCTGCTAAAGTAAAGTTTTAAAAAAAAATGGTTTATTTCTTTATTGTTCCCCATTTTAGCTGCCTAATATTTTATAAATATTTTAGCTAATGTAAAGATGTAGAGTGACATCTTTTGGTTGGTTTAATTTGCATTTCTCTGTGTACTAGTGAATCTCAGGTCTCTTTCTTCACACACCGTTCGTTCACAAAGCTTTCCCTTCTGCACATTGCTTGATTCTGTGCTTTACTTTGGCTGCACCTATCTCCTTACTGCCTTACAGACGCTTCTCATGTATTCACACTGAGGGCCTCAGGCGGCTTTAGGTTTTGCAAATCACTTTTCCCAGGTTCAGTTCCCTTCATGTTGTGAGTTTATTGAGTAGAAATGTTTAAATAGCAATGTAATATAGCTTACAGGTTTGCTTGTTTCCCACTTAGGGTTTATAATTTAGGGCATTAAGATATTTTGTCTCATACCAGAATAAAAAGACACTGATATATATCCTTTATTTTAGACTTTTACCTATTATAGTAAGGCCTTTAATTCACCTAGAGTAGATGAATTAAATACCAATAGGACTATTGCTGTGAAGAGACCCTGTGACCAGCACAACTCTTATAAAGACAACACTTAATTGGGGCTGGCTTACAGTTTCCAAGGTTCAGTCCATTATCATCATGGTGGGAAGCATGGCAGCATCCAGACAGACATGGCACTGGAGGAGCCGAGAGTTCTACATCTTAATCCAAAAACAGCCAGGAGGAGACTGTCTTCTGCAGGCACCTAGGAGGAGACTGGGTGCAGCTTAAATATAGGAGACCTCAAGCCTCTCCCCCACCCAACAGTGACCTACTTCTTCCTACAAAGCCACACCTACCTAAACAAGGATATACCACCTAATACTGCTATTCCCTATGGGCCAAGCATTTAAACATATGAGTCTATGGGAGCCACGCCTTTTCAGACCACCACAACGAATCAGGAGCAGCCTTCTTAAAGGAACAGGTGGTAAATGTTGTAGACTCAGGAGGCAATAATCTCTGTTACTTACGCCTGCTGTTGTAGCACAAAGCATAGATTGGTATAAGGAAAAAGATGAATGGACACCACTTGTTCCAAAGAAAACTATTCACAGAAACAGGCATCTGGTAGTCAGACTGTGACTTATTCCTAGCCTAAGTCTGCCTTTGTTTTTGGTGTTAGTTGAGATCCCCTTCTACACGGTAAGTCAGTTTTTACACAGGTACCCACTGAAGTAACCCGTCAGTTGCCGATCAATCTGTGGGTGCTTCCTTCTTGTTTGCTGTATTCTCAACATCTCTCAGCTCTTGTGATTTGTTCGTTTTCTTTTTCTATTCTCTCAGCAGGGCCATAGTTCTTAGGCCTCTGGTTTTGTAGTGTGTTGTAGAGGTGCTGTGGTATATAGTGAGTATGTCATAGGTAATTCATAGTGCAGCCAGCTGTTTGTGGACTGTTGGTACTTCATATGAATTTTAGAGTGTATCTGCTGAATCTCCCCAAAGCATGAGTCTGGTTTTTGTTAGAACTTACTTGGGAGGCTCTGAAATGTTAGGGTGTGTGACGTGTCCACTTAAGGAACCCATCTTCCCTTTCATTAGAGAGAAAACTGTTTCCTTACTAGGAGCTCTGTGCTTTGCACAAACCCTGAACACCATCTTACAACTGATATGCATGATATTTCTTGGTCACACTTTGATTGTGTTGGTATAAGGAAATCCTGTGGCTGTCGGTTAGGTTAGTTGTGTTTAGAAAGACTTGACAGAGGCCTGGTGCTATGACGAGGTGAGTGGACTGGCAACCAGCTAAGCATTAAGTCAGATACAGACTGGGACTGAAGAAACAACCAAAGTGTAGTCAACGATAGAGAATTTAAAACGTATCATTTATTGAACAGTTACATGCTAGTAAGTGTAAAAATGTCAAAATGGGCTTAAGGAGAATACTACCAGTGTTCAAATTTTATGTTTTTGTATAGGCATTTCACCTGCATGTATGCCTGTGTACCACTTATGTGTCTGCTGCCCATGGAGGCAAGAACAGGGCATTGGATCCCTTGGAGTTACAGATAGTTGTGAGCTACCATGAGGATGCTAGGAATTGAACCCATGTTCCCTTAGAAAGCAGTCATTGCTCGTAAACATTGAGCCATCTCACTAACCCATGTTTGTTTGAGAGAGGATGGCCTGGAACTCCCTGAGAACCACCTGCCTCTGCTTCCTGAGAGCCGTGATGGAAAGGGGCGCCAGTGTACCTGGCCCTCTGCCTTTTCCTTTCTACTTCTTTTCCTTTTTTGTCCCTTCCCTCTCCTCCCCTCCCTTCCTCTCCCCTCCCCTCCCCTCCCTTCCTCTCCCCTCCCCTC